TAGGGAAAGGCTAGAAGAGTTAAATATTTATTAATTGTCTTAACAGTGACTAAGATGTGGAACATAGTCAAGTGTCTGAAAGGTTAAAGCTTGTGGGGGAAGAGAGGGGTTGTTGAAGGAGGTATAATGTGAGGAATATCCCAGTGAAATTTAAATAAGCATTTAGGTTGAGTACTGGACAAAGTTTCCTGTTCAGAAAGCCATTTTATTGGTGAATAATAATTGGCTGTGAGTTTCTGTTCATATACAGAGGCACTTAGCGTAAGACTGAAGCACAAGAGAATACGTTGTTCAGATATTTGTTTTGTGTTGGGGCCTCGGAGATAAAGTTAGGAAACCAAGGCTTTCTGTGACTAGATGCAGTGACAGTGAGTGAACACAAATATGTATGAAGTGAGCAATACCAAAACTACCAAGACAGTTCTTTGAGAGAGAGAGAGCTGGTACAAGCTCTTCTCAAGGCTGCTGTCTGGTTTTATGCTGAAGTTATTTTACTCAGCTCCTTGGAACTATATCTTCTTGGAGAATAGCACTGGTGCCTCCTTTTGAAGCAGTGGACGCATGCACAAATGATACATAAAAAGAGGCCTATCTGTGAGTGGATACTGCATATAGCATGGTGGAGAATGAGAAGTTCAGAGAGAGAGCCCTTCTCATTGCCCTGGGGAAGAAGGAGAGTTTTTTTCAGGTCACCTTTGGATTATAAGCATGCTTGGCTGGAAGAGCTTGCAGCTATTCTTTGAGGAAAGGAAGGGGATGCAAGGTGGAAGATATTGGTAAGAATCATATTTCCCCTGAATAGAATGATGATAATTGTATTTGCCTATGTTTCTGGTTCTCCTACAGTACTTCTGTGTGCTGAATTTCAAAGGTCTCAAGGATTATCTGTGCCACAGCTGGGCCAAAGGACCACCCTCTGTAACTCCCTCATCTGCCTGGATCTTGCGGCATGAATACCATCTGCAGTACTTTGTGTTAGCATTGGCTCAGAAAATGGTAACCCTTTTAACACTTTATTCATTCTCATGCCTTTGATTAGTCTAACCCTGATTCCCTTTCCAGTTAACACGTTTAGCAGACACCTGACCCTTTGAATCAACTGGTCTTTGTCTTTCCTGATGTTCATTTCCTGACACCCCAGCTCACGTACCCATCATCATCCTGCACTTAGTAATTGTAGAATAATAGAAAATAGGGCTAGAAAGCAACCTCAAGAGGTCATTTACTCTAATCCCCTGCTAAAGGCAGGATCAGCCATGACTAAATCATCCCAGTCAAGTATCTTCCTAACCTGTTCTTGAAAATTTCCAAGGATGAAAATTCTACAGCCTCTCTGGTTAGCCTGTTCTAATTCTTAACTGCCCTCATAGTGAGAAAGCTCTTAATCTCCAAACTAAATTTCCCCTGCTCAATTTGAGACCTTTTTTTCTAGCCTTGTCTCTTACAGTTACAGAGACTAGTCTAGCCATCCTCTTTATAACTACCTTTCAGGTATTTGAAGGCTGTTATTAACATCTCCCCCCACCTCCCCCAAGTCTTCTCTTTTCTAGACTTAAGTAGTCTTAGTTTTTTCAGCCTTTCCTCATAAGTCATACTTCCCAAGCATCTAATCATTGTTGCTCTCTGCTGGACTCTTTCTCAATTGTCCACATCCTTTATGAGGCCTCACGAGTACTGAATAGAGTGGAAGGATCATGTCCCTTGATTGGCAAGTGACACTCCTGTTGCTGCTGACAACCCAATATGCTGTTGGCTTTTTTTTGTAACAAGAGCACACTGTTGGCTTCTGTTAAGCTGATGATCTACTGTAACCTCCAGGTCCTTCTTTGCAGTACTGCAGCCTAGACAATTGTTTCCTAGTCTGTATTTGTGTCTGCAGTTGTTTTGTCCCAAGTGCAAGATTTTGCATGTCCTTGTTGAATTTTGTTCAGTTGATTTCGGACCACTAATGCAGAGTTTAGATCTCAAAATGCTTTACAGACTTTGATAGAATCTTTTTATATACTTCTAAAAAAACCTCACCTCTGAGCTAGAACACAGCAGTTTATTTAGCAATGCACAGAATGGTTTATGACCAGAAGTGGAAGGGAAATATATCTAGGTGAGAACCTCATTCTGCCTTTACATCTGATATCCACAGAGAGATCCCCATTCTAGCTGTCTGACCTCTGACTTACTGTGACTGTCTTGCTAAGAATTGTCACCATGTTTTCACTTGTTGGGTTTTTGTTTCCTGTGCAGGCAGGCACTTGTCCGGATTATGCCCAGCATGCCTCACTCCATCACTGCGTTGCCATGACGTTGTTAAGCTGTTTGTTGCCAGGCAGTGAGCATCTGGCTCATGAGCTCCTATTGGGTCTTGTGTTTCATCCAGAATTTATTCCGTAAGCTTTGCATTTTTTTCTTTAAGAATCTCATTTCTTTCTTGTCTGGTATGTGGAGAAATGTGTTTGGGAAAGAAGGAAGTTTTTACTTTGCTACAAGTTTACTTTGCGAGTCAGATTTTCAGCCTTTAATATAAGGCCTGTGCTAAAGGTGTGCACCATCCATGCCCCTGCTGCAGGACCTTTGGTGAGGGTCAGGGGCATGACCTGACCTGCAGACTTGTCTCTGGCATAGGGATGGGAGAAATAAGATCAGTTGCTTGTTGTCTCCTGTCAGTAGCAGGTGTCCTGCTATGCCAACAGCCTCAACAGGAATCAGCCTTGTGTCTTCATTCTTAAGAGCAATGTGGCACCAATGCTGAATCAAGATTTTGTAATATCTAGGAAACAGATGGAAATCTGACCTAATTCCCTCTTTATACATGCCTATGTGCAAGACCTTTCTGACGGATCCAATGAAGTGAGCTTCAGCCCACGAAAACTTGCCCCACACACATGGGCATAAGCACACTTCGGTTAATCTATAAGATGCAAAACTACCCTGCTTTCTACGTGACTTCAGACTGACATGGCTAATGACACCTCTCGTCTCAGTACCCTTTCCTGGAGCTGAAAGGGTCTGAAGACCTTTCTAAATTTCCCTGCCACCCCTACTGCTTAGCTACTGTGAAAGTTGGTCTGCTGGGATAAAACTGAAGGTGTTTAAATGGTAACTACAATATTTTTTCTTTAGATCAAAGGACACAATGAGCATCATAGATGTGAGGTTTCCCTTGTCTGGCAAGGAAATGATGGTGGCTTGTATTGCTCTTGGAAATCTCATTGTAACTTGCCTTAGACCAGGCAAGAGTACTAGGGTACTTCCCTGGAGGAGGCTGGACAAATCCAGCATGAAAATGTCAGACATCTCCAGTATCTTTCTTGCTCAGTGTGTTACACTGGCACTACTGCTTCTCACAAAAGCCTTCTCAGTTAGCTTCACCTAATAGATAAAGTATCCGAGCCTGTAGAAGGAGTCAGTCTCTGTGCTGAGATCAGAGCTGGTGGGGTGGGGAGGGGGGGAGAAGGGTGGTTTTTCCCAGACCTATATTCTAGTCACTAGGCCATACCTTTTCAATGATTTATTGTTGGTGTCAGCTGAAAAGTCAGCATAGCTAGTATTGTCCAGCCAGAGCACATGGGTGTCTTGTAGTGTGTTTTGTCTCGCATTGAGCTCCTGACAGCCTGTGGGTAAGTGCGGCATCTCCCTAACCAAATGGTAACCACAGGTATCCCAGCACTGAGTTTCCAAGCTGCATTGGCTCCCACTTGCAGTGCTCTGCCATTGCTAGCTAAGAAAAGTAGCCATGGGAACTTCCTGCCGGTGGCATCTGAGATGCCAACAAGGTTAGGTTCCTGACAGTGTTGCTGTGTTGTTCCAACTTGAAAGCATAGGTGGGGTCAGTGGTGCTGTGCAATCTAATGCTCCTTATCCTGGAATAACATAGGCAACTGGGAGGGAGCTAATAGAAGCACAACGTCTGATTTTTATGTTGGTTTATGTACCAATGTTTGCTACATTTGTGTCTTGCAGAGAAGGGAAAGCTGGAGGGCCAGTTGCTGCTGATTTCTCTGATATCCTTCATCTGGGTGCAAGAGCAAGGCTGGTGCAGCCTGGCTCAGTGGCAGCAGTTTTTCCCAAGCCCAGCCGTGGTGTTCTGCTGGGAGAATCATACCAGCATCTGCCTTTCATCCGAACCTGCTACCTCTCTCATTTTGTTCACTTGGAGCCTTCTCTTGCCTGTTCCCAGGCTACTTACCAAGGTCGGACTTGCCTCATCCAATCCATGCTGCTTCCTCAGGTCAGAGGACCCATTCTACCCTCTGACTGGCTGTTTTTTCCCCTTATCAGCCTTTATAATAAAGTGACTAGTGCAGAGACACAGGGGGCTGTACTCAACACTCTTCCACCTGATTTAGTGAACACTGTGACCCGGAATCTGCAGTGGGTCCTGGTTCTGGAAACCTGGCGTGCCAGGATACTTGAAAATATACCAGCTGCTGCCAAACTTGCACGGCTTATGTGCGTCTTCCTAACAGGAGGCGATTTGTTTCTAGAAGGACCTGTCCATTGTTATACTGCTGCCCTTCTCTCTCTGTACTGCCAGCCAAAGGCCCTGGATTCTCTGCAACTGGATGCTCCTCTCCCTGGCTTGGCTTCCTTCCATGACCTCTATATCAACCTCTTGGAGCAATTTGATGGTGTCTCCTTTGGTGATCCCCTTTTTGGAGCCTTTGTTCTTCTCCCTCTTCAGAGGCGTTTCAGTGTACAGCTCCGGCTGGCTGTTTTTGGGGAGCATGTGAGCATCCTGAGGGCACTGGGAGTGTCATTCCAACAGGTAACTCTTGGATTGTAGGCTGCTTGGCTGTCACTTTATTCCAGTGAATGGAATACTATAGCCTTTGTTACTGTTTCGTAGAGGTGCACCGATACACCGGTTCAATATTGCATTGGCACCAATGTAAAGAAAATTGGCTGTATTGGAAATCGGCCCAGTGCAGCCAATAATTTGGCCGATAAATGCCTGTGTGTGCGCACAGCTGCAGTGCAGCACATAGGTGGTGGGGGGCAGAGCCTGGCAGTATTGGAGAGCTGTGTGCAGCTGGTAAGTCCATTGTGGAAGAGGAGTGGGGAGGGAAGGGGTGTGGGGGGGCAGATCAGTGCCTCCCATGGTGAGGGAGAGAGGGAGTGAGACAGGGTCAAAGGTGTGGATTGGAGCTGCAGCTCACGTGTGGGGGGGTGGGGTGGCTCCTGCTGCTGCTTGCACCCCTGGGGGGGCAGTGGTATGTCCCTGGATCTGTGCAGGGAAGGCAGGCTGCAGCTGCGGGCTGGAGCTGGGGCTGCGCTGGGCTCTTCTTGGTGGGGGCTGGGGTTGGGGTGGGCAGTGGGGGTGCTGGGCTGTAGCTCCCACCATAGCTCCCCCTCCCATTGCCGCTGCCTGCCCCAAGCCCAGCCCTCACAGAGAAAAGCCCAACACAGTCCTGGCTCCAGCCTGCAGCTGCAGTTCACCCTGCACAGATCCGGGGGCACATTCCCTCTCCCCCACCATGTCCTCCCAGAGTGCAAGCAGTGTCAGGAGCCTCCCCTCTGCGTCACCCCCTAGATGAGCCACAGCTTGGTCCCGTGTCTTGCCCTGCCCCAGCTGGGCAGCGTCTGCTGCGTCCCACTCCCTCCCGCCCTCACTGTGGGGGGTGTTGATCTGCCCCCCATGCCCCTTCCTTCCTCCCTGCTACTCGTTTCCGCGACAATGGACTTACCAGCTGCACGCAACTGTATTGGAAATCAGATTGGTATCAGCCGTTATGCCTCCTTAAAAATTGGCTATTGGTATTGAGCCCCCAAAATCTCTATTGGTGCATTCCTACTTTTTCCTTTCTGAAACTGGAATCATCCTGGCTCTTTTTTTTTCCTGTGTAGCAATTACACTCCCCTAGTGGTGACAAGTTTTTTATTCTTTCTGAAGAAAGTCCAATATGTGGAACATAAAATGTCAAGTGGGCTGAAACCAGCATTCCTTCAATACAGGGCTATTATATCAGTTGCCAGTAGCATCTATTGTAGTCTAGGACCTGGGTACTCCACAACAAACTGAACCTAACCTCTGCAGCAGGGTTCCTGGAGTCTGTATTGCTCTATTACAGCAGATTGGAAGTCCTGCGGCAGTTCCAATCAAACCACAAAATTAGAGGGAGTTTTATTTATCATTTATTTATAACAGAATTCAATAGGGAGATGAGTAATACAATCTGCACTGGACCTTTGGGTTTATTTTTTATATTGATTTCAATTTTTCTTATGCTCTCCCACTATCTTCAGTGTTCTGTATGTCAAGTTATTTTATATTGACAACTCAGATTTTCTGACTAAGTTTACTGAGGGAAGCTGGAGGTTTTTTGCCGTGGGATAGTGAGCAGTTGGGGACATTTCATACTGTGGAGTGGTATTAAGATTGTGAGATGAGCACACTAAATTTTGTTTCTACTAAAACAGTTAGCAAAATGTTGCCTTTATTTATTTTTTTAAATCAAGGCTCTGATTCCAGATGCCAGTACTGTGGTAAAGTATGGATTCAACAGTCCCAAAATAGCAGAATACATGGAAAGAAAGTAGAGAAAGTTTAGAACAGTCTTCATTATGACCCCTTATTTTCATGTGCTAATTCACTTCCAAAATGTTGACTGGTTATGGTGATGTTTCCCATGCTTTCTCACCATTTGAAGTGAATTTTGCTTAGAAAAATGTTAGCAAAGCTGTTTCATCTACCTTTTAAATTATAGGTGAGAAAAGGAAGAGTTCCTTACACAGAAGGAAAAGTTCCAGTGACATCTTGGCTTACAGCAAGACTATAAAGTTTGAAATTTGAGGAATAGCATTAATGGTCATATTATACATTTATCTTTTGTCCTTTTCTGAGTATATTGTATCTAATGGAATATTTTGTGTCTCAGCTGAGGAGGTATTTGAAGATCCTCTGGAGAGGAAGTAGGGTGATATTACTTTTTTTTGGCTCTGTTGCAGTTTCCTGTGCCTCTGGAGCAATACATCTCCCCTCCTGAAGACAGCCTGAACCTCCTGAGACTGTATTTCCGAACACTGGTCACTGGTGTGCTGCGCCCCAGCTGGTGCCCGATCCTTTATGTTGTGGCTGTGGCTCATGTGAACAGTTTCATTTACTCTCAGGACAGCACGACACAGGTTTGTAGTGAATAGTTTTAGCATTCAGTTAAAAAGCTTAGGCGCTCAGGCTTCAGATCCAAATCTGCTATAGACATGTTGTGTGACCAGTTAACCACTCTGTGCCTCTCTTTGCTTCTTTGCATAATGGAGGTAATTCTTTCCTCATGGGAGTGTCATTAGGACTGTTCAGCTGTTTGAAATCCTCAAATAGGAGTTGCTCTGTATTTATTGCAGTACCACGCACATGTGGTATTTTTCAACCACTGACCACTGTGGTGCTGCACAAATGTTAGCAAACCACTTCATAGCACTCCAAGTCAGTAAATACTATATCCGTTGTCCAGAAGGGTAGAATGATATATATAAGGCAAACTGAGTGACTTGGTTAGTCAAATCAGTAAGGAACCAAAAGTCCATGCTCTAACCATTAGATATGTTCCTCTCTATTGTATGTTATATTGTGCAAGCCTGATAGCTGATGTGCCAGGAGACAAGAGTTGAGGTTTCAGCAGTGAATCTGTGTGACCTTATTGACCCATCTGCCTCCAAAACATTTAATGACTTGGAGAAGAAAGAGAGAAATGGGACCACAGTTATGACATACTGAACAACTCTTTCCATAGAACCCATTGCTGCATGGTGCAGCATAACAATAGGGGTATTCCTCCAGTAACGCTGAAGGAAGAATGTGCTTGTCTTAAGCTTTCTTTTGCATTAAGCTGAGCATCTGTGTCTTGTTCCTAGGAGGCTGATGCTGCTCGGAAAAGTATGTTGAGAAAGACCTGGCTTCTAGTGGATGAGGTAGGCTCCTTTCTACCCACTGTATGCTGATAGGAGATGAGTTTTACTGCTGTTGACCAAATCTGAATCTCTGATGGCCCAGTGGATTCCCTATTTATCCAAACTTGATGGATTAGAAGTGGATCACTGCTAATTTGATAAAGTGGAGCCTTAATACCAGGGCTTTTGCTTGTAATGCCTAAAAACCCAGCATCTGATACCCCTGTGCAGCCTACCCTGTAATTCATTTATGGGCAGACACCTGCTGTGGGACTGAGTTGGGTTTCCTTCTCTCTGTATCCATGAATTTGGCTTGAACAGTATATTTGTTCAGAAATCCCAGAAAAGTTTCCAGTCACCCATGAGCAGGAGGCCAGCAGGTGGTCAGTCTTCTTGATAAATTAATTAAACTGGAAAAAACATCACGTAGCGCACATCACATCAAACTCCTAACCATATAACATATGTTCATATGTTCTATCCCTTTCCCTGATGATGCCTTTACAAAGACCTGTCTCGTATTACCCTTCTTGGTTGTAAAGGGTCATGCAGTATATATCAGTTGAGTCATAATAAATGGCACATTTGGCCCTCAGCACCCATCATGTAAGGTAGGTTCCTGCATCCCAGTTATGCCTAAATTTAAATGCTGACAGGGGAAGGAAATGGGCATGGGTGGTGGGTGAGGAGCTGTAGGCAAATGGGGAAACCTCCCACAAGTAGAGCATAGGTGAAGATGGTAACTCTTCTAGGAAGAAGCTCAGGACCTGCAGATGTTTGGTTCTGTGGTGTTGAACACCCCAGGGCAGCTGGACAATGTGCAACAAGTGGGATGTAAAGACAGTTCTGGATTTTCACCTTGTGTGAGCCACGCTTAATGTCTGTTTCTTTCTTCAGGTATTGAAAAAGCATCTTCTCTATTACAAACTGCTGAATTCAGAGTGCCCTTTGGGCTTTGAACTTTATGAAGAGCTCCCTCCCTTGAGACTAAAATACTTGCAAATGGTAACCAAGAAAGAGCCCAATGAGAGCACATCACCATAGCAAAGCATTCCTG